GATCATATTTATACCTTATTACATTAGCTTGAGGTGGATCCTTAGAGGCTTGACGTCTGTGTTTGCAACTCAGCACAATCGTTTTATTGCAGTGTTTGGCAATACAAGCTTTCTCTTGCTGGTGTGGGATCCATAGAGATACCAAATAGTTTCACAGCAGCAACATCTGTCTGGGATTTGCGGCATAATGTGAACTGTTAATCCTTAATAGACTATAAATAAAAATTCTGAATATATTTAGAGCTGACATTTTGTGATGCTTTGATAAATATACAGTTGAAGGTGCAAAACTGATGTGTTGGACTGTTGACATCTAGTGATTACATAAACGGGTTTAATCTTAGTCTAGAGACATTTTATTTATTTAACAAACAGCCTCAGTGAACTTTGTAGGTTTATTTGCACGACTGGTCGAACGTTTGGAATTATTCAATTTTTATTAAATTGGAATTATTAAATTGTCTGTAACCCACTATTAGTTTCCGGTCTAGCTAGAGCCGCTTGCACTTTGGTTGACAAAGCAACAAAACGTCTTGGCGCGGCGCAAGCCATTGAAATGAATGGGTTTGATAGTGCAGTGTGTGCATCCTGATGCAAAAGCATGTGAAAGAGAACTACAAAGTTTGCTAGGCCAAAAAGGCTGTTTATCGCGCGATAAAAAATTGACGTTAAAATGGGTTTGCGTTAACACCCTTAATAACGCGTTTAACTGACAGCCCTAATATAAATTATTCAAAACTTTTAAGTGTTTCACATTGGAAAATGATCATTTTTACACTGAGGAATATGGTTGCCAAATCTAGATTGCTAAATGTGGGCACAACTGCACAATTACCTTTTATATTATAGTTAATTATAACTATGTGGCCCTGACTTTGAGCATAAACACTCATATAGGCAGCTAATGGGTTTGATCTAGTGCAGCCACTCTCGCTGTGAATCATTTTTGACACCCCAACTTTCATTTGCATAATTAAATGCAAATGGATTGAGGTTGCATAATTAAAAATCTGACATGGATCAGTGTTGTGAAATAGCACAGATCAGTGTGGTGGAGAATAACAGACATAGTTCATCAGTGACAGGCCTTGGAAAACACAGCCTGTATAATTGGCTTCAGTCTGTTAGGTGAATACTGAATGTCTCATAGCCTGGTTGTAGTGCTATGTAGTTGACATGGTATGCTTTTGTGGATTGAGCCTTCTGCGTTCACCACATGGGTTTTCAGACATACTGTAACACTTTTTCCATAATTACTGAATTGTTAAGTTAATGTGACAACAGCATATACTGTTAGAAACGGGAGCAGTGGCTTGGAGAGAACTGATGGTGGATTTAGCCAAGTTACAACGGGCCTTTTTCCAAACCCATTCTTCGCCCTATTCCCATCTCATATCAGCTCGAAGAAACATTTATTTTAAATAAAGCTGAAGAAAATATAAAAAAATGGAAATTAATTTGGTAACCGGTATTTAATTGTGTCCTTGCATTGATCAGACGATCACGGTCATATTGTTGCTGCTCTCAAAACTGTGGCTCACATCCTGCTTCTGCCAACATTTATAATTGCTTACAGAATGCTACCTTACACTATTTCTCAAAAACAGTGGGCAGCATGTACGGCACAGCATGCAGTAAGCAGTACTAAACATTGAGCATTGACAACTCAAAAATCTGCTTATTTTAATCAACATGCTGTCCCAGATAACTTGAAAACCAATAACCTGGCAACACAAGTAAAACAAGTTTACAAGACTAATGAAAATCAGGTTATTCCCTGTGGTGACATCAAACCGTAAGTACTGTATTTCATTTGTCATGTGGGTTGTTATATTAATTTAAGCATTATAAACTCCAAAGTATTCCAAAATGTCAGCAGGAAACTCTCCTCTCATGCAGTTAGTTAGATGAAAACAAGTTTTTTTTTATTATTATTATTTTTGGAATCAAGAAAGAGTCTAAGTGTGTGTATTTTCTCTTCCCCTATCTTGAAAAACACTGCAGTAAGAACACTTTTCTGTCACATATTGTAGCTGAATATTTGTTTCAAAATTGACAAGTTTTGCAACATCAACACTGTTGTTGAACTGAACATTGAACTGACTAGACCTTAATAACGACAACTGACTTGAGCTGTTTGTTCTATAGCCCTGTGTTTGTTCTGTCCTTTGTCTGATCTCGTCTTTAATAAGCAGTTGTTCTGTTCGCCGAATTTTTGTGTTCAGATGATCCTAGAAGTGTTTAGTTGAGTTTTTTGTTTTTCATTAAAGAAACTGCCTACTGGTTTATTTTCATTTTTGGCACAACCCCCCTGCTGACGACAAGTATATTAATAACTTTTTTAACAACTCTTTTATTTTTACATCAGGCACATCCTTTTAACGCTCTAAGTCTAACATGTCAATAACTCATGCCCACTAAAAGCTGCAAGGACATATTTCCATACAGCGATATATACATGATATAGAAAAAGTTAAATCAATTCACATTTTATATCCTAGTCCTTGCTAGCAATAATGCTTCTCTAGCTAGATGATAAAACCAACAACCGACAATCAAGACCGACTGGCTAACTCTATTTTTCCCCTTGCCATTGCTCTTTTATTCCTTCATGTTAACTAGGGCTGGGTATTGAGACAAATTTCACAATTCGTTTCGATTTCGATTCACAAGCTTGCAATTCGATTCGATTTCGATTACGATTCGATTCAATATCGATTATTTTGGATATCAGTTACAATAAATGGCCATTTTTCTCAAGGGAATCAAATCTCTTAAATGCTGTAAACTATGGTCTATATATTCATTAGCCTAATATGAAGGTAATAATTAACTGTTTTGTAGCTATACAAACACTTAAATTACACTTTTATTTATTTTTATAATAAGAAGATTATATGAAATATAAACATTTAAATGGTGGCTGTCATAAAAACTTGCCAGATTTATTCCAATATGCATTAAATATTGAAGAACACTAACGAGTGTGGACAAACGAGTTTATGTGGGTTTTCTGAGGTAAATATGACGATACATGACATTGATTACAAGCTGTTTAATTGACGTCTTTCCACGGTTGAAACGCAGATTGAGCGAATCAATGTGACATGATAGGGATTTAGATAAGTTGTACTCGATCTTTAACACACTTTCAGATGCTCATTCATGTTTATTTGGCGCTGTGACTGGTATTATTAACCCGGAAGAGAGATCAGCGCTGCTGCTTCTCTGGAGCTGCGCCAGAGCGATCTCACGCCACAGCGCCAAAACGGCAAAACGCAATTTATGTTTTTGAATTTCTAAAGAAAATGGACGTAATTTGAAAATTGAGACTTTGTTTCATATCAATAGTAACAAAGGACAAAGATTATTGCGATTTGTTGGATGCGCGCAGCCGCGATACAATGTCTCATTCATTCAAATGAAACAGGATGACTAATCGATTCTTGAGATTTAAGAATCGATATCGGTTTGTAAAAATGAGAATCGATTAATATCGAGAAATCGATATTTATTACTCAGCCCTAATGTTAACTGAAGGCAAATCTGAATTATGTTCCTTTTAAACCTTAATCAACAAGTAGACATCCTCACCTTGTCTTATTCTTTATAAAAGCAAACATTTTGCCTAACCAAGGCTATATGGAGTCGTACAGCTAATGTGCGTTGGCATTGGAAGGCCTGAACTAGTTAATACAGGAAATCAGAAACCTAATAAAGAGGGTGACAATTCAAAAATACTTAACCTGTACGTATTCAAAAACAAAATTCATTTGATCTTTTTAACATATAAAATAGCATTTTGTCTTGTAAATGAATGTATCTGAAATAATGCCCTTCCCTGTTTGTACTGTGAAGCTGCTTTGAAACAATCATGTATAAAGCACTATATACAGTAAATAAAGGTGACTTGACTTGATTTGACCAGACATAGACAGTTCAGTAAGTAGATTACAACGCATGTAAAGGTGTTTACATGCAAAGTATCTGAGCAATGGGCAAAAATCTAGTTGTGTGGATCGGTTTATGCTCAAGTAGTTTATGACCTTACTCTGATAGGTATAAACCATGTCCCAGACTAAAATGCATGTTTGAGCTGTTTTAACTGAAAGCAACTTGCACTGATATATCTTAAAATGTGTCAGTGCCCTTGTTTTGTCTCAGGATGCATACCAGTAATGTTTTTTTTTTTTCTAAGGCATATTTTAAAAAGCCACTGTCTTAATGGAGAACTTCGGCACAAAATTAACCTTTGGTCTAATAACACATTGTACACTCCCGTATACTAGCGTATTCACTAATATACGGGGGCATATAAGTAAAGCGAAATTGCTAGTTTATACCACTAACAAGGCTCAAAATAGCCCCACACTAACACAGCAACATAATGAGGTTGTGTGTTTTGAATGTCCTTACATGCAAAACGAAGCATTGAGAACTGTAAGTGTACAGACCGTTTAATAAGAAGATACTTTATAAAGACAGGTAGGAGTCATCTTTGGAAAACAGTCTCGATAAGTCGATCCCCGAACACCGTTCATACAGTTCAGAAGTTCGCTGAACTTCATACAGTTCAGCTAACTTGGCACATCGTTCGTGGTTCGACTTATCGAGACTGTTTTCCAAAATGGCTTCTGTCTCTATACATGAAGTGGACTGTCTTCATAAAGTATCTTCTTATTAAACGGTCTGTACACTTACAAAGCTCTCAATGCTTTGTTTTGGATGTATGGAGCCTCAATATATTACTGTGTTAGTGTGGGGCTATTTTGAGCCTTGTTAGTGCTATAAACTAGCGATTTCTTTGTACTTATTATATGCCCCCATATACTAGCGTTATAATCTAAACAGTTTTTAGAGATAAAACTCTTTACATTCGATTATCATGAAAACAAATCTCAGAGAACGGTTGACTAGATACCAATGTTTTATTAGCCCTTCAACCATTTCAACCATAGTCTATGTCACCCTGAAAACAAATACCTTCAAACCTTGTTTGAACTCTTCGCTTCTCTTTTCCAGGTGGCCATTCTCGCTGGTCATCTCCACCTTGCGACTGTTGCTGCAAGGGTCACAAAGGTGAAGGCGAAGGTGAGAGTGGAACCTCATTCAACGAGCTCTCCACCTCCAGCTCTGAGAGCCACTCCGAGGCCAGCTCCCCGCAAGGTACGGTCATCCGTGGCCCGGTCAGCCGGCAGACACACGTTCAAACATTGGACAGGCCTCCAAAGAAAGGCCCCGTTCAGCATCTCCTGCAACAGCAGCAGTCCGAGCAGCGCCGCAAGAGCGACCTTCTCCGGACGCTCACCGGAAGTTCCCGGGACACCAGCACCTCCAAGAAACGGCCGGCGAAAGAAAAGTTGACTGTGGAAGAGGAACTGGACAAATGCATCAAGGACTTCCGCAAGATCAAGATTCCTGCGCATTTTCCCGAGCGCAAGTACACGTGGCAGGTCGACCTCTTGCGCAAATACCGTCTTTGAGGGACGGCGGCTTTCAACCGTTTTCAAACGCAAGCTACAATAATGTATGTGCTCACTACTACAACTACACACCACACTACTACTGCCTCTGACTTTTCGTCAACGTCGGTCGATCGACCACTTCATCTCCTTGAATGCTAATTGTTTACTTGTAAACACCTGCATTTTCGACTTCCAGAGAGACGCACGTGTTTCCGAAAGACACGCAGCTACTTGTCTCTTTGGTTTCGTTCTCCCCTGCTGAGCTACACAAATGTGTGTGTAATTGTGTGTTTGTTACAACTGAATTTTTGACCTCGGTATGTTAGTGGCACAGCGATTGAGTTGAGGTGGCCCAGAGGTTGAAAGATGAATGTGTATCCACCTCATAAATAATGCATGTGGTCCCAACTGTGCCCTTTCTAAGAATAGCCACTGCCTTGGCGGATGTGAGAGTGTGTTTCCTTTTCAAAACTCTGATTAGCACAGGAGACCAAATGTGTTTTCCCCTTTTTTGGATTCTCCACGTTCCATTTTCGTACCTCAGCTAAGCCACAATCAGAGGCAGTAAAGACCTTTCCACATATGTCGTCTCTACGACATAAAAGGGATGTGGGTGGAAACTCAATAGCATGACATGAAGGCGTCGAAACTGCTGCCTGAAACATTGATTTAAACACGATATTCCAAATGGGAGTGGATGATGGCTTATTCTTGAGGTCAAAGGTTAAATGCTGAATGTTTGGAAAAACCATTTGACAGGAAAATATATTCTGAAAGCAATCACACACCGGACAACGCGGACATAGTTTAGGGTTGTGCAATCTTTTTTGCGGAAGACATTTTTGCTGCTGTATTCATTCCATCAATAACAATACTGAGCGAATTTGAGAAATGGATGGCTTTGATAATATGTTAGACATAATGAGACCTATATATAGCTGATGATAATTCAGTGGAAACTTATTGGTGTATGTTATGGTTAATAATGTTTTTAGACACCTCAATAACAAGCCGCTTAGATAGCCTTTATATATTTTTATTTATTTATCTTTAATACTATTTAAAGTTTAGTTTAGTTCAACTTAATCATTTTGCAAGGTTTTGAAGGGAATTTGGAAACCAATATAAGCATCATTACTTGCTGCTATTGCGCTATATTTATTTCCAAACGATACTAGACAGACTTCGGTGTGTTATAGCTACAAATTTATATTAATGCCATACATTTATATTCAAATAACTGATACCGATGTTAATTACATCTGATAATTATGGAAAAGGGAATAAATGATTTGCCACTTGCACAATTTATTTTCCATTCTTTCCCCCCTGCTAATTTCCTATATATTATACCTTAACTGCCTGTGATGAAGAGCCTTAACCTAAGTTTACCTAAAAAATGTTTTTAATGTTATATAGTCAAAAATGTGACTGGATGTTAAAAGAGAGGTAAATCCTCACAGATGCGGACCTTTTGATTAGCATTCCATTTTCTGTGCTGAGAATTTATTGTTAGCTAGAAAAAATATCGATGTATTTATTTATTTCATCAAAAAATAAATTAAAACATCACATTTATTTTCTCTGGTTTTAGATAATACCCTAAATGTATTACCATATATAGTAATATTGCTGTAACCTCACTGTGTGAAGTGTGATGGACTCCAGATGCACGCTTGTGATGGGTGTAAATGATAGGCATGGCTTGCAAACTTTATTTTCTCAAAAAAGCCTTTTGAATTCAAATATAAATTAAGATACATTGGGTGCTAATCAAAATGTAGCCTCCAGCCTCTCGTTCCTATATTTAAAGAAGTCTATTTATATGAAATTAAAGGGCAGAGAGAATAGCATGTTAAATAGAATTTCTATGATTATTATCTGGGTACCTAAAGGAAACAGTAAAGTCATTATTTTATTGCATTGCACAGGTTTTCTGTTTTATTCCAAACACTAACCGTACTGTCGAATAATAGCATTGCAAATCACTTGTAAATAACATGATAATGCAATGTCTTTTAAATGAATTGCACTTGTAAACTGTAAGAGATTATTCTTTGAGCACTCAAGACAGCTAAAATTACAATAAAAGTGTTTGGAATCCATTGGATTAATGGCAATTATATATGTTAATATTTCTAAAGCACCAAATGAAGCTAGAGTAAGATAATGGCCAAAGAGCTTTTTGTTGAGCTGTTATATCGTTAGCCTCATAGCACAGTCATATTTCAATGTCTTTGGAAAACAAGAAAAAACACAAAATGACATAGGCAATTAATGAATATATAATTAGCCTAACGATATGTAACACATGAGCACATCTCATCTAAAGCACAAACTCACTGCCATTTTTACCAGGAAGAAGAGTACCTGCCATAGGCTTGGCTAAAAGACATTTTTATGGTAGCCAGACAGAGAGCCATTGTGAAAAGTGTGCTTAATCAATGTGCACTTGCTTTAAATCTTACAATTATATGTGTGTGTGTGTGTGTGTGTAAATATAGGCCAGCTCTATATATATAAATAAGTGCTGTCAAACGATTTAAATAGTTAACTCGCGATTAATCGCAATTAATCACACATTTTTATCTATTCTAAATATCTCTTGATTTCTTTTTGTCACATTATTTTTTCTCGTTTTATTGCTCTTATCAACATGGAAAAGTGGATCGGCTTGCTTTGTGCAAATATTTTTTTTTTGAAAACAACATTGGCCTATACTGTGTTCAAATTCACACTAAAATTCTCATTTGAAGCAAATAATCTCTCACACAATGTAACACTGTCCATCAATAAAAGGGTGAAAGATGAAAAAAAATACTGACGAGGTTATGATATTGAAGAGGGGGCGGAGAATTCGCATCAGCTGTGTGTGTGTGTGTGTGCTTGGCCATCATCAAGCGGTATTTCAGACTGGACGTGCTGCGATGAAAGCTCAGTTCACGACGACAAAACACACAGATCACTTTGGTCTTGTCAATGGAACCATTTGGCAACTTTTTAAAAGTAAACTTTCCATTCAGAATCTTATTGGCATCCATTTCGGCGTCTCGCGCTCGTCATCCACTCAAAATGTAACGTTAACCAACTATTAGCCCGTCTCGCCAACGCAGTCTCATACCAAGACGTCGTATAACTGACGTCTTGGGACGTCTTTTGACCATACGTCGGTTAGATGACGTTATCGGATCCTAACCCTACCCCAGACGTAAACCTACCCCTAAATCTACCCCGTCACCTAACTGACGTTAAAGGTAAAGCGTCAGTTGTATGGCGGCCCGGGATCGTCAACTAAACGACATTTAAGGGTACCCTAAAAAGGCTGATGTTGACGTATGGTCAGTGGTGGAGGAAGTACTGAATCTCAGTACTTAAGTAAAAGTACAAATACCCAGATAAATATTTACTTTAGTAAAAGTAGAAGTAACACAATGACAACCATACTTAAGTAAAAAGTAAAAAGTACTTTATTTTAAATGTACTTTAAGTATTAAAAGTAAAAGTACTTGCATAACAATTTATTATCTTAATGTCTATTTTCTAATGATTAATAAAACATTTAATTCTAACTCATTCAACCTAATAGCCTACTCCTATAATGATGTTCAATAATGATGGAAAAAAATGTCACCATTTCTGAAACAAGCTTGCAATTAGGCAATTATACACATCATGCTTATCCTTACTATATGTTAATAACTATGTTTGGCAGTAAACGAGATTAATTTATGGTGTAATTCTGAACCTCTTGGCTTGCCATAATCCTAACCAAACCAAACGTATATTACACACGGTGTGTTTCCTATGCACGTAAAAACAAATTTTCGCGTATGAGTTGCTGTTGCACGATAAGCACACTGCGTGTGAGACGCATTTAGTGTGACCGGGTTGATATACTGTATCTATGGCAACCAAACGTCACTGGTGAGACAAACGTGCAACGAACGGACGGTCAGATTACGTTTTGGCAGGGGAAAAACTGATCAGAAAATGTAACGAAAATGTAACAGAAGTTGTAGAAATGTAGTGGAGTAGAAAGTATAATAATTGCTGCAAAATGTAACGAAGTAAAAGTAAAAAGTAGGCTCTATTTATTGTACTTAAGTAAAGTAAAGATACGTGAAAAATGTACTTAAGTAAAGTAACGAAGTATTTGTACTTCGTTACATTCCACCACTGCGTATGGTCAAAAGACGTCCCAAGACGTCAGTTATATGACGACTTGGGATGAGACTGTGTTAGTCTCGCAAGCCATTGAAATGAATGGGATTTATAGCGCAGCGCGCGCTTTCCGCGTCCTGATGCAAAAGCATGTGAAAGAAAACTACAAAGTTTGCTAGTCCAAAAAGACTGTTAATCGCCCCATAAAAAAATTGACGCTGTTGAAATTTGCGTTAACGCCATTAATAACTCGTTTAACTGACAGCCCTAATATACATATATATATATATATATATATATATATACGCACACACATGCGCACACATTATGCAAGATTTTTAGCCAGTTACGTTAGTTAGGTTGGTTGTGTGGCTGTATGAGACTAAGCTAGATTAACAGTAGAGAATAACATACAGATCCTATTCTAACTTTTCATCATGTTGAACTACATAACATTGATTAGTTGTATGTACATTTGCTCACCAAGTAACATGCAACACTCGCGTCTCTGTCAAGTCGAAGTTAGTCACGGGCGTGCTCTCGGCATCTCGAAAGATGTTGATCTTCGCTTTAGTCGTCTTTTTGTCTCAAAGTCTGTTTGAACACAACAACAACAGCGTGAGCGTCCTTCGGCATAACCGACCCAGTTATCAACGTATGTCGCCATGGTTACTATACCTGGCGGTAACCAGGGAAAACGCAGATATGACGCCATTGACTGGTGACTCCTCACCCCTGCTCACACCCCCCATTTCCTTGGTTAAAATCACAATTTTCTCATGATTTACAAACAATTTGAAATATTTTGGATATTGTAAGTAATCAACTAAACAAAATATATAACATTGGCCTAGTGGTTTTTGGATATTTGTACTGTAAAAATCATGCATATTGTACCTTTAAGTGCACTTTTTAATAACTGTTTGACTTCAAACCATTATGTTTTAATACACTTTTGTCATGCTTAAAAAACACCTTTAAAGGGATACTCCACTTTTTTTGGAAATAGGCTCATTTTACAACTCCCCCAGAGTTAAACAGTTGAGTTTTACCTTTTTCAAACCCATTCAGCCGATTTTCTGATATTTAGAATAACCAGACAGTTTCTGGTCTCATTGACTTTCATAATAGGAAAAAAAATATACTGTGGAAGTCAGTGGAGTGCAACATCCACACAAATCTAATAGGTTACAGTATCCACACCTGCTCAAAACCGCAGTTAAAATGCCATTTAAACCTTTTTATCCACACAATCTTACGTATGTAATATAGATTTTTTTAATATGCAACAAACTTCTCACTTTTTTATTTAAAGTGACACACAAGGTGACAAACAGTAGTATCTATTCAGTACATCTGACTGAATCCATACTGTTATTAGTTACAGATTGGTGTTTGTTTTCCGTATTAGAGGATTTTTTTTTATGTACCGCTCCCAGCAAAAATATGTTCGATTTTATCCCACTCCTGCCCAAAACGTTACCGCCCGCAAAAGCCCATACAAAGAGGTCTACGCTGCCATCAGAGTGCGGTGAATTCTTTTGTTTTCTCTTATTTCATGTTTAATACACCTTATGTAAGATATATTCGAGAATATTCTAATAAAGGCCTTAAACATAAATGAAGACCACAATGTGTAATGTATATCTGAAAAATATAAAGATGTTTTAAAAAAATATTTTCTTTTAAAATCCAGTCCAGGGGTGATAATGCAAAATAAAAAAAGACACAGTAGCAAGCAGAAACATTAAACACTTCTTTATAATATCACATGGTCTATTTTGTTTTTCAAATTGATAAAGTAGTTTAAATGAAGATGCTAAATTCAAAAATAGATCATACAATCCCAGAAGTGTGCAGTTGCTATTGAGAATTGAGATTTTAGTTTTTATATTGTAAAAGGTAACTATATTATACAGAAAATATGTGTTTAAAATACACTGTAAATATTATTCAAATTCAAACACGATAAAAAATCCTTTAGTAATGTAACCAACACAGTCGTAACTATTTTCCGTTTTGGCAAATTGGTGGCTAATGTGTGGTGAATGTAAAAGGTCTTATTTAATGCATCGTAATGGTGTGTTTTAAAGTAACACTTTACAATAACGTCCCATTAATTAGCATTAGTTAATGTATTAAGTAACATTTACATTTGTTATAGTATTTATTATCCTTAGTAAATAAAATTCAGTAGGTCATGGTTTGTTCATGTTAGTTTACAGTGCATTAAAGAGAGTTGTTATTGTTAATTGATGTTAACTAAAGTAGTTACCCAGATAGCAAACTGACATTGAATCAACGTGGAAATATGACATCGAAACAACGTTGATCTGACATTGTTTTGCTCATCGAATTAATGTTGAACCAACGTCAGACGCGTCATTCTTTCAAAACTAACAGAAAATCAACTTGAAATCAACGCGTTGTTTCAACGTTATGAAAGCAAACCAATTTTCGATTTTCATTTAGCTTTGAAGAATGCCGCGTCTGTCGTTGGGTTAACGTTAATTCGATGAGCAAAATCAACGTTGTTTCAATGTCATGAGAGACGTCGTTTCCACGTTGATTCAATGTCAGTTTGCTGTCTGGGTAACTAATGTTAACTTATGGAACCTTGTAAACTGTTACTAAATTGACTGTATTTTCACAAGCACACCGAGGAATGAACGAGATGTTTCGAATTTCAATGTTATAGATGTGTCACTTTGAACAATGAAAATTGCGCATCAAAAAATTGTGCAGGCTCTTTTGACTTTTAGCTCATTGGTTTTATTTGTTCATGGAAATTCAGCGTTAATACATGTTATACTAGCTCATTGTTATTTCAAGTCAAAGTGAAGCCTGAAAGCAGGTTGCTGAGTCTGTAAACAAAGAAAATATGACGATACTAGGCTAGCAAGAAAAAAAGCATTTGGCACGTATTTTGTGAGACATCGGGTCTGTTTCCACTCCTTTCAGATGTTCACGCACTCATGGTCCGCTCTCCCGCCAGGCAGGCCTGTTTAAAATGTTGCCTGGCGTATCAACATCTACACCCCCTATTGTTTGGCCCTTTTTATATTTTCTTTTTAACCCAGATAAAAATCAATCGAAGAATGATGGAACCGTATGTCTGAGAATAATACCAATATATGAATGCATTAAAATGCTAATTTGAAAACTTGCTGAGCACTCTACAAAAAGGATGTTTGGTGTCGTTTTGACTTCAAAAAGGTCCAGATGATTGTGCGCATGCCAGTGTACGAAATGTTGCAAATGTTTGTCTGTTTGTGATGATGTTAAAACATACCAAAAACACAGGGAAAAAAAGGTAAAGCACAAAGTGTGGGTTGTGTCTGCTATTGTTTGCCACA